AACTAACATCAACAAAATACTTCTGACTTGTCTTGGAATAACAAATGAGCCATTTAAATAAAAAATTACATGCACCCAAATTATTCGAAGCAACTTGAAGAGAGGTCTTTTTTTTTGTAGCTGTTGGCTGCAAAGTACAAGCAAGTCATTACATAGACCAAAAATCATATTATCATGGTTATTTTCAAAGAAAGGCTAAAGGATAACTTTTTAAAGGCAGGTGTATGCCACAAGATGCAGTTAAGTACCTTCTGGGATAAAAGTACTAAAGATGCTCAAATCCATTAAAAATTAAAGGAAGTTAGGGAACTCTATTGTTAAAATGCCCCAGAAGCTTTAGTGTGATTTATCTTTCTCTGTTACTCTCTAAATTCCTTTGATAGCCAGGTCTTATGCTTTTTACTTCTTTAAAAATCCCACTGGAGAATATTATGAGTTGGGAGGTGAATGCCAGCTTCCAGATGGGATTTTGGCCCAGGTACTTAAGCCTGTGCTGGTGCCAAAGTCTCACAAAACTGGGAGGATTTTACATCTGGGAGGAAGTCCCATAGGTATAAGAGAAGGTAAATTGGCAATGGATTGAAAACAAATTACTAATTCTTCATATGCCGTTTTTTCCAGCTGCCTATTTCTCTGTCCTTTAAAACCCACCCTCCACATCCTCTTTCCTGGGAGGTCTGTTTGGTTTCTCCTTTCTCCCTGCTACCAGCTCCTGACTCTGCAGAACGCCTCCCTTCCCTCTCCACATTGCTCAACTCTTTCCAGGGAAGTGTGACTTTGTCTCCCCACCCTCCGTCCTGCCTTCCCAACTGTCCCAGCCTGAGTCTTATGCTGAGCCAGCTATACTGCTTTTCAGTGATAAATCATGTCGTCACCCCTTTCCCTTTTGACCTGTCAATTCTTTTTTTTCCTTTTTTTTTTTTTCCCCAAGACTTGCATAAACCACCTTTAACTGTAGAATACAGAACAGTCTTTGTAATATAAATTTCAAATGCTTTTCAGAAAATACTGAGTGAAGCTCCCAGTAAATATCAGAGAGCACAAGAGACCCACCCAGTGCCCGGCTTTTGGGTAATTTTTCCACGCTATGGGTAGATAACAAGTAAAGGGGGCAGAGCTATCAGTTCAGTGACACTGGTGCACTCCACACGCCTTGCACAAAAAAAGGGTTTGGATTAAACTCCTCTGAATTGCACTAATGTGTACAGAGTAAAATACAGAGCCTTTTAAGGTCATCTGCAACCAAACTGAAGTAAATTAATTAATGAGTACTGTCTTAATGGTGTTAGAAGAGCCAATGAGAAATTATTACCGTGAATTATTGTGAGGCTAATTAATGTCTGCATGTATGCGTACATAGATATGGATGTGCACAGAAATTAATTCTATAAAGACTATAGCAAGTATGTGTTTAAGAAACCTGTACAAAAGCTGTGTTCTTGATCAGTGGGTCTGAAAAGTCCAGTTCCCAGTATTTGTCACATCATCACTGCTCCAAGAGTGATTTTCCCCACTGTAGCAAGGGAGGGACAGGAACCTCACTCACAAAAGAAATAGAAAACACTGTTGATTTTTATTTTCTGTCTAAGTCTCCAGATAAAAAGTTGTATAGCCTGCCTTCCCATTTCTCATTCAGATTTAATAAAAATCCTTAGTATTTCTACTGGAGTGATTTCTCTCTCCTGTTTTTTCCTCTACATCTACATCTACAATTTCCCTAGTTTTCATTAGGAAAATAGATTTGCAAAAAGTGCTAAGTTTGAACATGAAGAGATTTTGTTTGTCAATTAGACCTATAAATTCTCCGTGAGGACCTGGAGGTGAGGTGGATGGCCTCACCGTCCACCAGCTATCACTGGCAAAGGGAGCCCCACACCTGAACCGAGCCCCTGCCGTGAGCTGCGCTGCCGAATGGACGCCGTGTGGGAGCATCCTGGATGCTCGACCCCGTCTGTGTGGGGACAGTCATTGAGCAGCACAGCAACACGGCAGTCCAGGGGCATAGCTGCAGAGAGCTTTAGAGAAGATTGACTAGATCAATATCCCTGTCACTGCTTATGTCAAGTGATGAACTCCATCATTACTTGTATCAGCGTGCCCCATGGCATGTTAATTTGCACTTGGCTACTCATGATAAGCAGGGTATAGTGTGTTTGTGCAGCTACTTTTGTGTGGATATATTATTAGGACAAGCCTTAGAAATACAAATATGCCAGTATACACAATAATACATATATATATAAAATTGAATTCCCTCTTCTTCCATTGCATAAGACCAGCAGGTGTGAGAAGAAAACAATGCAATTTCACTCTTTATAACCGCAGTGAATAGAAACAAGGACGTATAAAGAAGAGATCTCTCTCACACAAAGAGGGCATGTTGGCAAAAAAAAAGTCCTGAGAGGAAGCTTGCACTGTAGGGGCCCGCGGTTTGGCTGGGGGGGCAGGAGAAGGCTGGGTTAGGTGCTCTGCTCCCGTTGACCCTTTTGAGACACGTTAGCAGAAGTTCCTCGTGACTTCAGCCGGGGTTAACCTGCGAGCAAGGGGAATACCCAGGAGAGGTTATGCATTTAGAAAATATGATAAAACTTGTTGGATGCTTTGGAAGAAAAGGGCATTTTTGCAAATGCGAATTGTTCTGGGCAGGTCAGGATTCCCCTGCCAGCTGTCCTGCTGCCTGTTCCTGCTTCATCCTAAACTGCTTGTGTTGCTTCTGTGATGATAGTTCTGTCTTTCTCCTAGGTATTTCTCTTATAGCAATAATGCCATCTTCTTTTACATTTACTGCTAGCAGTACCACAAACCAGCATCCTGTTTGCCTTCTTTATTGCAGCTGCATACGGGGCAGAAGGCTTTAGGGACTTTCATGCAATAATTCCCAAATCTTTTTCCCGTAAGTATACTGCAAACTCAGCTCACTACAGAGCATTTCCATCTAGTTCCTACTTTTATAATTTTTGTTTGTGTCATTTCGCTTCTCAGTAATGTACATTTGTCTGCATATGCTACCAAAGAGCTTAAGTAGTCTGATCTTTTTGCTTTGTTCACATGTATTTTGTTTTAACTTAACATAAAGCCTATTTCAAAAGCCACCTTCTCCAAATCTCTGGCAGGCAAGGAGCTTGTAATTGTTATGTATAAATATATTTACATTCAAATTATTATTCTTATAATTAAGAGGAAAAAATTGGTGTGTGAATTATGGAAAAATTGTCATATGCACAAGCTAAATAGTGCTATTGCTTCCATTTGCTGTGGTGAAAACAGCAGTCCAGTAAATATGCAGAATAGTGTAGATCACTTCTGTTTAGCTAGTCATAACATCTTTGTAAATCACTGTTTGGTCATTGATTATATTTTTTGCATATCTCTAAATTATTCCCCTTTTTAGGGCATACATTTTAAAGAAAAAACTGCTATTTATGATGTGTGTTTATTCTGTCTTGCATATGATTTCTATTAAAAATGCAATATTGGAAAAATCATTAAAATGCCTAGATTGGTAGACTTTATAAAAGGTGTCCAGTCAGGCAGTGCTCAGAAATGTGAACACCTTTACACTCAATGCGTCTCCCAGTAGGATTTTGAGGCAGATGATACTCTTGTCAGTCACATCCGTGCAATCCTCCTGGGATGCCTGGGAGGTTGCAGGGTGTAGCAGAGAAGAGTTTGTCAAACCTTTCAATTTCAAATGAATGTCAAGGTCTTTCATCTCTTGAGGTAATTATTGCCCATAGCTTAATTATGTCATTGCTACACCATCACTTATGAATAAGCTACCATGAAACTACTGTTCCACAAAAGGACAAGTCCTGGTCTTTACTGTGTGAAACAGACCCTTGGTGTACTCAGCCAGCCACTAAAGTAAATGCTCTCCTTTTTGGGGTGGGCTGGGGTGAAGAAGAGGTTTTTCACTGAAAGGAAAGTAAGATTGGGGGCAATGAAATGGGCTTTTTCAGCCTAATGAAGAACTGTTTTTTCACCAAAATCATCAAATTAGAAAAGAGGTAAAATAACTGTAAAGATTTTTTATTCTATGCAAAAGTCATACAGTCCTGTGGAGAGAAGAGGAATGAATACTGACATTAACTGATCTGAATCTTGGCCCTTTTTCATAACATTTCGGTTTCCCGTGTTCATATCAGATCAAATCTACCACTTTACGTGTTATCACATGTAGTGAGGCTATGCCCAATTTACACCTGAATTATTCTTCTAGGTGCAATCAGTTGTCACCTATGGGATTATAACACAAAGGACTTAGCCAATAAAGTCAAGACAGTTCTCTCACCCACCTTTGTTGATTTGACTGTTTTTTAATAATAGCTCACGACTGTAGAGATCCTCTCCTCTTACTCAGTGATCCTAATCCTGCTGTCCTAAAAACACAATTATCACTCCTATAATTTCCTGTAATGCCAGTTCTTGCTCTTAAATTCTTTCTTCTATCCTTCCCCACCGTGGTTTCTTTATCAATGTTTGTACTCTTTGCTTTCCCATTGTCCTTGCTTATGCCATAGAACTGCAAACCAAGTATTTGGATTCAGTACAACCCTCAGGATCTTCCTGCCAAGTGGAGAATGTTGTATTTTCAGTTAATTTTCATCCATTGTCTTTGATGAGTTACTTTCACAATTGTTTTGGACAAATCCATGTGAAGTGGATTCATTTTAAGTTTCATTCCAATTAGCCTGAATTGTCAAAATGAATATTACAAACACAGAAAATCTCGGAGTGACCTAGGAATAGACTTGCAATGTTGTTTGAGTTCCCAGCTCCCTGGATGCTTCGTATTTGTCTTACTGATATTCACTGTTCATTGCTCCATGTGTTACAATTTTATCAGATTGCCCATGGAAATGTAGTCGTGTTTGTAGCTTTTGTTATTTAGGTATATTGTACATGCTGTTTAGAAGTTATCTCCTTTGATGTGATTGTTTCTCTGCCACCATATTTATTCTGTAACAAAACTGAGTGGCATCCTGTATTGTTTTTTTCAGCCGGTAATATTAAAATAGAGACTCAGAGTGATGAAGAGAATGGGCGTGCCTGTGAAATGAATGGGGAAGAATGTGCGGAGGATTTACGAATGCTTGATACCTCGGGAGAGAAAATGAATGGCTCACACAATGGCCCAGGCAGCAAGGCTATGTCAGGAGTTGGAGGCATTCGACTTCCTAACGGAAAGCTAAAATGTGATATCTGTGGGATAATTTGCATCGGTCCCAATGTGCTCATGGTTCACAAACGAAGCCACACTGGTAAGGCCTGCCATAGTTTTTCCTTTAGTTGACAAGAACTGGCCACATATTAGGAACTATTATTTTCTGTATCATGCACATGTTCCCTCTTGTAAGATAATGCAGCATCAGTGGGCATTTGGAACTCGGTTATTTTGTTACGCCATTTCGGACAGCACAGGAATTGAGATTTCCTCTTGATGGAAGTCCATCCACTGGGCTAGAAATTGTGCAGTTTGTTTGGTTTAAAGCTACATGAAAAATTCAGATTTAAAAAAAAAAAAAAGAAATCTAGTTTAATTTCTAAGAAATTTCTAAGAATTGCTGAAGAAAAAAATGTTTGTGGCTAACTCTGAAATCAACCCAGTTCTAATGTTTCCAACAATGCAACAAAGCTCATTATGGATCAGTGATTATGAAAGTGATTGGCAAAATAAATGTTAAGGGAACTGTACTGCCAGTCTTAGTAAAAAAAAGTAATTAGCAATTTTATGTCAAATGTTTCATGAAGTAAAACCAAGTATTGTCGCTGGTCAAATCTGGACCAAAGGGTTTCCTCTGGGACACTGAAAGAATTGCGTAAAGATGTTGTGCGCCATAGGGATGGCTTTTTATTATACAGTGCCATGAATCTTCTTGCCTCAATTTTCTAATTCTAAATAGTCTCAAAGAGTGCAAAAAATGAAGAGGCTGAAACAAATGAAGAAGTAAAGACCAGGGTGAGTCTCATCTAACCTGATATAAGTTGTCTAAAAATTAGGCTTCCAATCTAAACTCTAAGGTCATCCATAGTCAAAGGAGAAGAACTGAACTGTACTGTTGTGCTACATAAGTTACTTTGAAAATAAATAAATGAAGTATTTGGCATTTTTGCATGAATATTCAAATGAGAGGGAATTTTTAAATATTTTTAAGGTAAGAACGACCTGCCCGATGGTTAGATTTCACTGAAATAGTCAGGCTAGTGAACACATAGATAGTTTTTTCTTCCTCATCCCCCCAATCATGCTCAAATGATTTCCCCAAAATTACTAAGGAGTGAGATTAACAAAGTGTTTTCAGAGTTTAATGGAGGGGATCCATTAAAAGACCCCGAGTGTCATCCATCCCCGCGCAGTACTAGTGTCTGTCCTTGTAAGCGCGGCTGTTCGAGCCATGGAAGGATGTGATCTGTGAGCGTACCGTGGGTTAGCCACATTCAGAAGTGGTGATAGTTGGCACTACTGTTACATTGCCTACTTCGAAGTACTCTGCAGTTCAATATGATAAATCCCTCTGTCAGGGAAGAGCAGATAATTATCTTTATTGGAAAAGCCACAACTAGTTCTCAGAAGAGAGGCTGCAGCCTACTTCCTAGATATACTAAAGTGCTTGATGGTGGATTGTTTTCTTCTTTTTTTTTTTTTTTTGGGGGGGGGGGGGTAATTGAATGTTAATGTCCTTTAAAAGTTGATAAAATGTATATGGAAAATGACTTGGACATGAGGCCTTTTAAACAGACCCATTGGCTTGAAGGGGATGCTGAAGTAGTTGAAATAAAATGTTGCACCTTAAAATTCATTTAGAGGTAGACGTCTTTGTGCTTGTTTAAGGAGGCTGCTGTTTTACTAAAAGTACGCTCTTGCTGCTTTGGCAGAGTTGTTTTGGGTCAGAGGCGGTGTCTGCACCGTGGGGACACACCTGATTTTGGGCGGGCGATGAGCAGAGCTGCCTTTGCTTCTCGTGCGCTGGCTGGCACCCAGCGGGCCGAGCCCCCGGGGGATGAGCTGGGCTGCCTGCTACCTGCTCGCTGCTTCCCCCGCACAGACCTCTGCGCAAAGGCTGGCACTCCAAAACTTCTCCGCCCTTTGCAGAGCCCCCCTCTTGCCAACGGGACACTCCTTTTAGCCAGGGAACGTAGTTAAAACCTACAGTGGAATCACCCCATGATCTGCATTTCACTCAGCAGGACCGCCTCTTCTTTGACGCTTAATAAAACTGAAGGGTGTGAAGTTGCACCCCGAGTCCTTCCATGGGAAGAAAGACTTTGCGTTCCCTCCTGCCTCGTCCGCAGCTCCTCTCCTGGGCAGCCTCTTCGGGAGAGCAGAGGCGGTTTCGTGGAGGCTGGCGAGGGAGTGGAGGCTCGGAGCTGGTAGTTTAAATAAAGGGGACGTCATGGGGAAACAGCAGTGACTGCTTTTCCTTTCAGCTGCACTGTGAAAATTAAAGTAGAAATGGGATATACGATTACAGACATTTAACTGACTACGCTGAAGCCCATTTCAATACATGCCCGGTGAAGGAATAAGACTCGCAAATGAATTACTTTGCTGCTAATTCATGTAAAACCTGCATATGCAGTGAGGTTTCCTTAAATAAATATTTGATAAGTGAACAAAACTCTAGCACACTAAAGTGCCAAAATAAAATGACTGCCTGACCTGATAAAAGGCATAATTACTTTTAATGAATACACCTGCCAAGTGCAGATATGCAGAGCAGCACCTGGTATTTCTGCCCCTCCTGTCTGCAAGCAGCTGTACAGCGCTGACAGCTTCCTCGCGCCTTACCTGTTGCTCCCATCTGCGGAGCAAATCCCACTCGCGGATGCCCAGATCTCTCTCCTCACTCTCGTGCCCCAAGGCTTTCAGTATGTTGGTTTTCTCCAGCTTGCTGTTGTCTTGTTTGGTGTTTAGGAAAAAGGACATCTAGAAAGGAGAAAGAAAACCCCTCCTGCTCCCTGGTGCTGAGACCTCAGGGTATAGATTCAGACTTCGCTTGCTCAGTGCGCGCATATATGTGCGCATGTGTGCAGGTATATATATGTGCATATATATGCGTGTATGCGTAGGCATATCTATTCCCTCCTTGTATGTACACTCCTTTAACTTAAGACCCCAGTTAGTTCACTTATATCTTGGTAGTTGGGTCTGAATCTGTCAAATTTATTTAGAAAACTAATGCCCATTGAAGAATAAGCATTAAAAAAAAAAAAAAAAAGAGAGAGAGAGAGAAGAAAGAGAGCTATGTACATCTATGAGTATTAGGTGATTTTTGTCATTATATTATTTAAGAAATGAGGATAAATATTCTTCACTGAATAAGTGGTCCAGGGCCTGTGCTCCCACTAAGGCTTGCAAATCACTGCAATGGTGGTTGATTCAATTCAGGGTCCCATTGTGGTTTTTACTCCTGGGCCCATATTCATTCACAGCTACACACCGTACAGTGAAATCCACCCAGGATAGTCACGTGCTGTTCAGGACTGGCGAGAAAATAACACACAAAGCTGACTATTTAAACAAAGGATGCTTTATTTTATTGTTCTTTCCATCCTGTCCCTTCCCCATGTTTGGGGGATAGCGTCACACCCCGTAACCTTCCACCAGCAACCATCTCCATCCTAGCAGGACTGAGAGCTTTGCTGGGCTCATCCCCACCCCAGTAGTTGCAGCATGGGTGACCAAGGGCTGGCCAAGATACACATAGTTGCAGGGTCTTTTGGTGGTGGTGTCGTTTCCCTTGTACAGCAACATGAGTGCAGGTTCCCTTACATTTGATCCCACTGTAAGTTTTGTGGAGATACTTGGTATGCAGTGGCCTTGTTTGAAGTGCCCCATCCGTCTGTCTTCTCCACCCAGTGCAAGATCTCACCCTGTAATTGTGAGAGCTGTAGGCTGGAGATACATTTCATTCTTACTTTGCTTTACATTTAATTCCTGGAGTACTTTGATGATCCTCGTTTTCTCTTCTTACGCTCCTCTGAGTAAAAATAACCAAAATGAATGCTAGAAAAGCTGTTTAGTAAGAATTAACCATTTCTTCTGAATTTGTGTCCCCCTTGACAAACTGACTTCTTCGTTACTGTTTCAGTCCATTTCTGAAAAATACCTTCCACGCAGAGTAACTGCCCCAAAGATTAAGAGGTAAAGCAGACAGACTCTTACCCGTTTTCTTTTTCCCCTGACAAGTCCTGTGCATGGCTTATGAAGTACATTGCAAAATCCTGTAAGGCTAATCCTGGCATTTTTGTGGGCCACCCCAGTTGAACCGGTTGCAGATATAGTTCAGATGAATACAGTTTCTTGATGGACAAAGAAAGTGAGCTCTTTTGGGACTATGCTGACCTGCTTGAAGATGTTTGACCAATAGAAATGTCTTGCTGTAAAGTAGATTAATTTTACAGTTTGCCGAATGCTAAAGCTGCCAGCCCTGATGGTAGATTTTGCAGATTTTTGGGTTGGGACTGTGCTGCTGTCTAATTGATTTTCAGCTGTTCTACAGCATTACCCCAAAATAAAAAAATATCATGCTGCACATACCATGCGCACGTATGGACATACAAGTTGGTCCTAGATGTGCAAAAATGGTACATAATGGTTAAGTATGAGAGAAGAAATAAATTGGGTTTATTTTTTCATATTTTAACTTCAGCACTGAAATTTTAAATTCAATATTATTGTTATATAAAGAATATCAAAACTAAGAACAGGTCATCTCTGGGCGGTTTCTAATATTGTGAATGTGTTATAATTGTTATAGCAAATTACATTTATGCCCAAGAGAAACAGAATTCAGGAAATGAGTTTCAAAGGCTGGTTTGACTTAGTCGAAGGCTATGGAGACACGGGCATGCAGGAGCGGTTCCCGTTGATGGACGGCTGTCATGTGTGAATTTTCCTTTACTCCTATCTGGTACAACTGGAAACATTTTTTATTTCCCACTGAAAAGGCCTCATCTCTCTTAAGACACAAAAAATAGCTAAGCGAATAAATGACCATGTTGATTTTAAACAGCACTACAAAAGCAAACCACAGCCATATTAATTTTTGCAAAGGCTAGTTGATTCACTTCCTTGATAACGGGCACCAGTTTCGACAAATCAATGCTGGGTCTCTTCGAGTTTTATCCTGTGTCCATCCGAAGTGTAGACCGGCAGAGCCCGTTTGTGCAGCTCCTCTGTTCGCACCTTACCTAGGGAAGGGTTGGGACTTCGGCATGGAAGTACAGGGCTTCCTTTGCACTGTCTTAACTTACGTGATTTTTAGTCTCTGTCTTTCTCTCTCTTTCTCTGTCTCTTTCCTGATTTGGCTGCTTAGGGACAGACAGGTAATGGAGAAGAAATTGAAAGGGAAAATACAGGGAAAATGTAAATGAAAAGAAGTTATTATAACTGTTATAATGAAGTGCCTTTCATTTAAATATAAGAATGTAACGCTGAAATGAACTTGTGATCCTGAAATGCATTTTTAATGAGTTTCCTTTTTATTTTGCTGCTTCAGTGGCATATTTTAAAGACCCTTTGAAAAAAGCCACATTAAAAACCCCACCAAATGCCACAACATGCAAAATTGGATATTGGTTTATTCCAAAACTGCTGATCAGGAAGAGTGGCTCTTCAACACAAAATGTTGCAGTCACTTTATTTAAATGAGTTTGAATTTGCATTGTGATGTGCCATTCTGATTTAGAAAAAAAAAATTAGATTTTCAGATCAAATTGACCCAGCCAGTGAAGCATTAAGAAACTGGCAGGTTTAGTCTGAAAGCCTCATGTTATATCAAACCTGCAGCCGGTGGAAGTCACAGAGCAGCAGTGAGAAAACAACTTTCTCACTGAAATCTTTCTCCTGTTACCACGTAGGATTTTTTGTTCTCACATATTTCCTCCTTCTCCCCATAGGAGAACGCCCTTTCCAGTGCAATCAGTGTGGAGCCTCCTTTACACAGAAGGGCAACCTTCTGCGCCACATAAAGTTGCACTCGGGTGAAAAGCCCTTCAAGTGTCACCTGTGTAACTACGCCTGCCGCCGCAGGGATGCCCTCACGGGACACCTGAGGACTCACTCGGGTAAGTGAAGGTGCGGGGCCGCCCGGGGCTGCTCGTCACAGCGCCTGTTGAGGAGATGGGGACATTTGTGGCCACCAAGCCTGAAAGGTCTTCTCACCCTGGGGAGGCGAGTCACCCCATGTTGGGGTTCACCCGGCGGGGAGCCGGCCGCCGTGTTTTAGCAGCAAAGAAACGACTAAACTCATCTCATGCTCATGATCCTTCACCAGAAGAACTGGGTTTTTTTCCCCCGTACTTCTTGACTGATTAAAAGTTTCTGTACTAGGGTTTCATCTTACAAGCCTCATGTGAGTAATCCATTTCATGGAACTATGAACGTGAATTAAAGCTGATGAATGTTTTAGGGTTTGAATGGCATTTATCCGCATATAGAGGTAATATAAGGTCTAAACACAGTAGGTTTTAAGTCACGAAGTCTCAGAAACCTCCGGTCTGGTAGTCATTCTCCACCTAAAGAGTGGATACCACCTACAGCATTTAGCAGCAGTTAGTTGTTGCACCTTGTTATTGCAAGTACTTTGAAAGAGATAGGGTGGGGGGGAGGGAGAGAGTGGGAGAGAGAAAGATAATAATCTTCAAAAAAACCAGGAGTCTGCGAGAGTTTTCAGTGTTTTGTCTCAACAGTAACATGGAGATCCGGATAAATATTTTTTAATAGCAGCGCTTTTCCATTACCACAAACCTCTCATTGTTTGACAGAAGGCATAGTCACATACCTTCTCTGAAGCAAAACCAATTTAGCACCTTTAAAGTGCCTTTAAAAGCAGAGTGTTGTCTCATGTAGTTTCCCAAACTAAGCTGGAAATGCATGTAGTTATTTGGATAGGAGACCTCCAAAACACATTGCTGGAACTGAGACTGGTAACTTTACTTGCGTAAGTTGGCTTTGGGACCAAGTTCTGGGTAGCAGAAGGGGAGCTCTCAAAGAGACAATTTTGTGTTGCACAAAACTTAAGGAAATTCTTCTCTAGGACATATATTTAATAATAAGATCCCTAGCGTTTGTCCCAGATGTCCAAAATAGCTTCTACTTCTCCTGTTCTGGCCCGATTCAGGAAAGCACATCTTTAAAAAACTATTTTGTCTCCCTCTCCCTTACTGTTACTGATTTTCATGGCTGCACAATTTTAAACATAATTTTTCATATATGCATGAAATTAGACCTAGACACTTTTGGCAAACTCTGAGGATTCTATAGCTAAAGCGACAATGAATAAACTGTAGATTGTGATTAGTTCCTGCAACTGGTAAACTGACGTCAATACATTATAAAACAAGTTGGATGTCTGAGTCTGATTTTCACCTGAGAATTTGTCAATAAAATTCAAAAGTTAAGCTGTGTAACCATGTAAAATTGTGAAATCACATATAAGGTGACATTCTTATCATGCTAAGACAGAAAATTCATGTCCAGAAGTCCATGAAACCGTGTTACTGCAAAATTCCTGGAAATAGCTACATCTCCATTGGTGTAATACAGAGAAACATTTGGCGTGCCATTTCTCTTGAATTTCCAGAAGCAGAAAACATGTGAAATCTAACATTGTCCTAGAGGGGTTGAGCTGGTTCTGGTTACATCAGAAGTGACATCCAGCCGTGGGCAGGTGTCTCCACCTACGCCACCAGCTGCCCTGTTGTCAGCCTCTGTGGGAGCTGGCACTAAGGCAGCTACGCTCAGGCCCTTGAAGGTGCCTCCGTTTATAATTTTTGTAGATGCTGGTTTTGAAAATTCAATGTCGCGGTCCTTATCTGACGTGAATCATCTGAACTCAGCTTGCAGCACCCATAGAAGTGGACTGTTGATGTAAAGATATACAACTAGTTTTCCATTAGTTTGTGGGGGCGTTTTAACTGACAAAATCTTTCTTCAGTTCACCACAGCATGGGCTTATTTTTGGGGTGGGCTTTTTTCCTGTTGTTCTTACCATTATTAATATGCTGTTGGGTACCTCACCTGAATCTCTCAATTAATTGTGTTTTCTCCAGTTGGCAAACCCCATAAGTGTGGATACTGTGGTCGCAGCTACAAGCAGCGCAGCTCTTTGGAAGAACATAAAGAACGCTGTCATAACTACCTGCAAACCATGAATATCTCAAGCAGCCTTTATTCAGGTAATAAACGTGTCCACCTGGGGATTAACACTGTCCTGTCACATACGCAGAAAAAGGAATGCAAAAGGAACATCTTTTGCATTGGGGACGCACACCCCCTCCCCTATATGTATGACATTGCATCTGGATTTATTTTATATTTGGCTGTTGTCTCATTTTGTTTAGCTCAAATAAAAAGCCAAAGTAAAACTCAGGCATGTAGCAAAACACTTGCAAGACCTGGAAAATTTCAGTTCATCATCTCAAGGCAGTACGACTATGTCATCTCACCACCTTTCCCTTTTGCTTGGAGTTCTGTATCTCAGTACTCTTGTGGAGGTATTCTTAATAAAGACTTAATATCAGTGTTCTAGGTAGGGCTGCAGAGTCTTCTGCATTGCACATCTCCTGCCCTTCCCAGGCACAGCTTCAGGGGCTTATTTGACCACTGGGACCAACTCATCTAACAAAGACGAACCATCTGTCTTTGATCTCACTCTTCCAAGCAAGAGCACATGAAGCCAGAGGTGCTTAATTTAGCCCGTTTGACTGAGACAGTCCAGAAAGGCTAATAATTTGTTGACACCCTTCTTCCCATCCTCCCCTTTAAAAGAAAACTGGGGGGGGAAGTGAGGGGCTGTTGTGCTTCCCGTGAGAGACCCGTCTTATGATGACAGTAAAGTCCATTTCTTGGAGCATATAAAACCTCAAACTATGCCCAGAAATAGAGCAAGCAGATATTGGGGGTTGGCTTTTTTTGTTTGTTTTTTTTTTTTTTTTTTTTTTTAACAAAGATCCTAAAGATCTATATGGGATTGATTGCAGTAAATAGCCATACACAATCCTCTTACACGTGCAGTTTTAGGTAGAGAGTATAAGATCCAGCTTCTGTGGTGGAGTTTAAGCCCATCCAGTAAGTTACATTTCTTGCATACCTTTTTGATCCTGTCAGTATACGTTATTTGGTTTGTCAAATGACAAAAATGGAAGGTTCTCTCTCACCTATTTGTAATGAAGCCTCATGTAATATTTTATATCTGGACAGAACCTGCATATGTTTTTACATGCTATCAAATCATGTAAAGTATATGCACATAATGATAGCAGTGAATACAGCTGAGATGCTTCTGGCAGACAGCATGTTAGAGCAGCGCACCTTCTAATTTTATTGAGGGGCTAGAGAATGTATAAATAGGAAAGCTCAACGTAATATACAGTAGGCAGCAATACCTATTCCTCAAAGAGGTGATAGGATTTAGAAGCAAATATTCTGTCTTGGGATTTGAATATTCAGTGTCTGGCACATGGATTTGAATGCCTGCACACAGAACGTGAAAATCTGCGGGAATGAGTAGCTGAACTACTACTAAAGTCTTAGTAAGCAAAAATGTCCAGATGAACCTCGCATAAGGAATCATAAACTTCAATAGGAAATAATACAGATGGACCTTTGTTTATAGCAAATCACGACAGGAGAGTTTACACTAGCTTAGGACTAAATATCTAATATCTTATTGGGATGGAAACTGGGGGAATTCAGGAATGCTTGGAAGAATTACTTCTTCCTTGCATATACTGAAAATATCATATAAATCTGTATTTGATATAATAGGAGTGCTTTTGCAAATTAGAAAAAAAATAAAGGAATAACTTCTGGGTTTAGACCTTGTATCCTGCCAAAAAAAATCACTCTTATCATAAAAAAAATTAGTACTCAGTTAATAAATAAATTCCTTACGCTTTTACAAATAAAACTTTTCTGCATTTTTCCTAGTTTTTTTTCATCTAAACCGCAAACATACCATTTTGCTGTGTTTACATTATTTATTTCCCTTATAAAGGGAATGAGAGAGTGTACTTCTTGGATTTTTTTTAGTGCATTCTACATTATATCTGGAAAGGCAAGTAGTTATACTATCACTGTTCTTATATTTCATGGTGTGATATGGAGCTATTAGAGTTGTAATTCAGACCTTTTTTTTTTTCCCCAGACTTACAAAATTTGGTACAAAAATCTGCTAGGGCATCTAATTTGACATTCTGCTACAGTGGGATCATTTTTTACAGCATTTTTAAAATACTTTGTGCTGTATACATAGAAAAAATTTCAGTTGAAAGGACCTAAACTGATAACAACTTTCCATCAGCTTGTAAATCTAACAAATATACTTTGGAAAGTGCTTGAATAAAGGAAAGATCCAGCAAAGAGAGTAAGGAGGGGAACAAGAGATTGCATTTATATTTTAACTTTTGTCTGCTTTCTTTAAGAGAAGGAGATTCAGCATGACATTACAAACCTGCCAAATTGAATGGCAAAATTCTTATTTTAGAGGACTAGAATCTCATTGTCCCTGTGCAGTTCTTCTACTAGAGATATTAATTGGGGTTTTGCATTTACATTGACTGGAAGTGTGCTGAAGTCTTACCAGGTCTATATAAAATAACAACAGAAATAGTTTATGAAGTTTAAAAAGGGTCAATTACAATTTTTTTCGCCACTTGTGGATTTTCATTTGGAAAGATAATTTTTTTTTTTTTTT